GTCAAGCCCAAGTCATGCTGAATCGATTCCACTACATGCATCATCCTCAGTCGTGGGGTCTTTCGTAACTACGGGTTCTCCACAATTTCGATCCCACCATTTATCTCGTGTTACTTCATCCACCTTGCCTCACCCATGACAAGGACCTTGCCGCATGCCTTGTCCAACGATGTCAAGGCTTGGGGCACAAGACTTGTCGAGTCATTGGTGCCAGTCAATTATAACCAATCTCCTATATATGCTTTACAAAAATTTCCCAATGCAATATAAGCGGACATCTTTTGAACTAGGGAAGCATAACAACAAGAGCCTAGGGGCATAGCACTTGGAATTTTGTCAAACACCATAGCTACTTCATCTTGCTTCAAAGTCATTGAGTGCGTTGGTGCAAGGTGCCACCACGACATGTCTATTTCTTGCCTAAGATAATTAGGGTCTAACACTAAGCCATTTAAATCATCATTAACGCTGTTTTAGTGTCATTTTTGTCTTAGTCACCCATCTCTTCCAACTTTAAAGAATCACATCCCTAGTCTAAGTTTTATGCCCTTCATGTCTTGTGAAGCTTTTCAGTTCGGTAAGCATCGATAATGTTTTTTCAACAAAAAATAAATAATCGTGCATGTATTCCCTCCGTATTGATTCATTTAGACGTGAAGGGTTCATTGAATAACTTTTTGTATTTTGCAATCTTTAAGGATAATTATTCTCGCATGACATCATTTATTTTTTATGAAATCTAGCCAAGTATTGTTGTTCATCTTTCAAAACCATCCGTAAGAAAACTAATACTTAATTTGGCTATCAAGTTTGTGTTTGTAAAGTTTGATAATGCAAGAAAATATGACTCAGATCCCTTTGATCCTTATGTTTGTAAAAATGACATTGTTCATCAAAATTCTTATGTCAACACCCCACAACAAAACGGGTTGGCACAGGTAAAATCTTCATTTGTTATAAGTAACTTGCGCACTTCTATTTCATATGCATGTTATCAAAAATACTGAGTGAGGTTTTTGTTACTTGCCATCTTATGAATCATATGCATTCTTATGTGTTACAAGCAAAATTTCCTCATTTTGTTCTTCTACAATCTCGCTTATTTCACGTTCCTCTTAAGATCTTCAAGTATGTCCTATGCTCATAACTTGTAACCACTTTGATAAACTTGATTCCCTTGCTATGAAGTGTTTTACTCGGTCATTCACATATCCAAAAGGTCATCGTTATAGTCCCACACTTCCAATGCACCTTGTTGCAATTCTACTATAACTCTACTATTGGATCTCGAATTTGGGGCGCATCCATCAATTGATGATTGATGAAATTATTTTAGCAGGAGTGAGTGTGAAAGGGTCAACCCCATAAGAGATTGGCGGGTCATTACTAGATAATGAGATAGATGAGTTTAAAGAGTACATTGACCAGTTAAAAAAAATGGGAGATTTATGAAGTGACAATCATGTGTGATGGATGGACATCCACCACAAGATTATCTATTATTAACTTCTTGATATATTATGATGGAAAAGTTGTCTTCCACAAATCAATTGATAGTTCTGGTCATGACAAGGATGTTAACTATATTTTGAGGTTGATGGATGCTGTTGTTGAGTAGATTGGAGAGAAATATGTGATTCAGATTATTACTGACAATGGAAGTGCGTACAAAAACACTGGCGAAATGTGCTAAAGCAAGCTAAAAGAGTGACCAATTTCATTTAAAATCATAATAGAGTCTTGAATATAATGAGAATATTTTGTTCGAGAGAATTGATTTGGTCGGGGCAAACAAGATTTGCCACTAATTATATTGTTCTACAATGTATTTTGGAACAGAAAAATAACTTGCAAAGAATGTTTACTTTAGAAAATTGGTCTAGGACTGCGGCAGCAAAGGATCCAGTTAGAAAATGAGTTCGAGGGGCAATTCTAAATCCTAAGTTTTGGGAGAACGCCAAAAATGTGTTGAATATGCATACACCAATTGCAAGAGTTCTAAGAATGGTAGATGAGGAAAGAAAAGCAGCAATGTCATTTGTATATGAAGAAATGAAACGAGCAAGACAAGCTGTCAAAAACACGGCTCCTAAATTATGCAAAAAATATCTTGACATCATTGATGTTCGATGGAAAAAATAAATCATTCAACATATTCATATGGCTGGTAAACTTATTGTTTACCAATTTATATTTTTATTATTGATAAGTGTTATCATTTTGGATATTATCATTTATAAGTGTCATCATTATTTATATTGTATAGCTTATTACTTGAACCCCACATACCATTATGAAGAACATGTTGGTGTGTTAGAAAATTTGTTAGGTTCACTTTGGATCGTTGTGTCTAAATTAGACACAAATCCAAACAAGGCTGCTAAAGCACATGCAAAGGTAATACTTTAGTATTTTAATCTCAATTGTGCTAAATTAATAATAACATCAACATATCCATGATATTTAGGTAAAAATATTTCGGGACATCATGTATTGTTTTGCTGACCAAGCTGCAATTAGAGGATGAACAAAATGTGACACTGATAATTAAGTAGATTATTTACACACTCATATTTTGTTCTCATGAATTTCTATTTATATTTTTCTTTAAAATTTTAATATGTTTCTTATTATTATGCAGCAGAATGGTGGTTTATGTATGGCACTGATACTCCAAATTTGAGAAAAATTACTATGAGAATATTGTCACAAACAACCTCATCTAGTGGTTGTGAGAGAATTTGGAGCACATTTGCTCTCATTCATACTAAAATGCGGAATCGACTCAATTATCAAAAGTTAGAAATACTGGTGTTTGCACAACATAACATGAGGTTGAAGTTAACGCACCTTATGAAGGACATTTGCTCTCATTCATACTAAAGTGCGGAATCGACTCAATTATCAAAAGTTAGGAAGGTTGGTGTTTCTGAAATATAACATAAGGTTGAAGTTAATGCACCTTATGAATGACAAAAAGGGTATAAATTCAGACTTATAGACTTAACCACTGTTTTTGAGGAAGACAAAGGTATTTCAGAGTGGTTAAATGATCCTGGTGATGCATTTTTAGATGAACTTGATGATGATAGACAACCAACAAGACCAAACACTTTCCTGGCAATGTGGACAAATCATTTTTCCAATGATGAGGGAGGCGTAAGCCTAAGTCAAGGTATTGTGCCACCACGAAAATCAAGATCTAAATAAGTAGAGAATGATAAAGTAGAGCAACGGATGATGGGGTTTGACAGACTAATGAGAAGTCCACCAAGACGTAAGCAACCTATCACGATCACTAGTAGTACTGAAGATGATCATAATGGTGATGGTAGCAATGATGATGGTGGTGAAGATGATGATAAAGGTGGTGGTGGTGGTAGTGGAGATGGTGACAGCAGAGGTGGTGATAGTCATGGACATGGAGGCAATGGAGGTGGTGGTGATGGAGGTACGGGAAGCCAAAGTCCACATGGAATTGTATTCACTATAGAGGAAGAATTTACACATGCTACAGAAAATGAAGATCGTGGCTATCGACANAGGTACGGGAAGCCAAAGTTCACATGGAATTGTATTCACTATAGAGGAAGAATTTACACATGCTACAAAAAATGAAGATCGTGGCTATCGACGAATGCTTCAATATGAACGACGTTCAAAATCAAATCAAGATCGTCAACGTGAGCATACTCAAAATCCAATCGATCCACATGGTATGGGTGCTATTAGGCATGGAGTTGATATGATTAATGATGATTTTTCTACTATGAGTATAAGTGGAAGTGAACACCATAATTATAGTTCGTCGTCTTCATATGATTATGGATCGGGGTATGACACACGAGGATACGAATATGGATCCTCAACATATGATTATGGATATGGCTATGACTCCCAAACATCCTCCTCATATAGACAAGATGAAAGTTGGCCAGGGACAGGTACATTCGTTCCCCAACAAATTTGGTGTAGTGTTGCAAACTATCAGATGTTTGGGAGAGAGTATAATTCATATTATCGTAATAATATGAGTTAGAGTAACTATTGTCATCATATTTGTCACATAGAGTTTCTCTAAGTAGCTACCCAGAGCCTACACCGATGTATGAGTCCACTCGACACTCCACAGGAGATGGATATGGCCATGTAAGTATGTACTTATTAGCATTTCATGTGTATTATGAGACCTTAACATTATGCAAAAATGTGTTTATTTGATGAAAATTAAGTGTTTGAAACTAATTTAAGTGATTTTCGCCTTATGTCAAGCCTTTTTTCCCTCCAATTTTAATTTATTCTTGTATAAATAGATATTAACCAAAGAAATATGTTGAATTAATCAATTATTTAGCTTATCTTTATAAATAAATGAATTGCATTTGTGTTTCCACCTGTTTTCATTATTTTCTACGATTCCATTGCGTTTCCGAAACGTTTCTGTTTTTGAACAGACCAAAACGGTACTTCAAAACGAAATTTCAATCCTTTGGTAGAAACAAGGAGAAACATCTAGCCTAGAAAAATCTAACAATCACAAATACATGTGTATCACTTGTTTATTGTTTTTTTTTAATTATTCCAAATGATATGGTAGTAGTGATTCTGTTATCATTGATTATGCACATCATCATTTGTTACTTCTTTCTTTGGTTTTTCGTCCTCAAAGATAATCAACTTCACACACTGAAAACGTGTCTCTTGCCCCCTCTTGTTTTCAACCGGCAACAAGAATCAAACACAGACTCACTCTAGTTGCCCACCAACACCAAAAAGGAAAGAAAGAAATAACACAAAAACCAACTTATAAGTGTTGGCTTGGCCTAGTTACCAAAGTGCCTAAGAGAAACTTTCCAAATTCAAGAAAAATTCAACATAGGCGCCATCACGTGTTCACATTTTCCAACAATTTGGTAAAGAACAAAAAAATTAATGACATACTATACTTTCAAAGTTCCATAGTTCTCTAATAATAGTACATGTTTCAGTGAAACTTTGCTTCACATGTAGAGCATAAAAGTCAAATTACCAAAGCTTTGGAACCACATACCATGAACCATAGCTGATCCAGTGTCACGGGATATCTCAAATTGAAGCTTCTTATAGCGATGATTGCTTTTCTTAGTTGAGTAATTTGGATGGGTGAATGTAAAAACCTATGCAAGTGCAAACCGAGATGCATGTAAGTTGCTGGAATGGATTTGAATTCACTGCCCAAGAGCTAGAACTATAATGGAATTATTGTAAGCATGGTATTAGAAAAAATCTTACGGGTTGGGAGGGAGAAAGCCTTGCTACACGGTGGAGTTTGACAACGTAAGCCGTTTCGAAGTGCACAAGATCTTTGTGCGACTTAACCTGCAACATAATCAAAGCAGTCCGTTCATACTGAAAACCGAAAAATGGTCACAGAATGAGATTGTGAAAGAGACAGGGCATACATCATTGTATAGCTTGGATGCGGTGACAGGTTGAATGAAACTTGTATACCTGAGGAAGGTGCAGCAACGAAAGTGGTATGAGAATAAATACTACTCGGGAGCACCAAAATAACAAGAGTCAAGTCAATTTTCCAAAGCAATTCCAGGTTCATGTTAAGCAGAAAAAAATGTCCGAATGAACAAACAACTAACAAACGGTGATCATAAGTAGGCCAAAACACCCTTACTATGGAACTTAACAAAACTTAAATAAATCATCTGCACTTCCAAAAATATATAATAGTGAAGTTTATCCGTATGTTTCCCAATTAACTCCTGAATAAAGCAGCTGTACTGGCCACCACTGATCATAATTTGATTTCCTTTACACATGGTAATCATATTTAACAAGGTTGTCAAGTTGGCAGCACAGTGTAAAAGTGGAGATAGGGCAGTAATCGACATGGTGTATGTGTTTGCACAGCTAGCAGAGTTGAATTTGGAAACTTCACGTGTAGCATGTTGATATTTCTAATGGGGTAGCATTTAGGATAACAATGTTATATTTGCTTTTTCGTTCAAATCCATCACTGTGCATGAGAAAGACAGAGATATGCAAGCAGCAAGGAAGATCCAAAAGTAAGCACCCTCCTATTCGAGTACTGTGCCTCGTACCATATAATGGCCGTTTGTAGAGGTCACTATAAATTCCATCGCGGAAACGGCAACATTGCTCCCCCCAAAAACAACTAATCATCTTAGGATAAACTAATAGCAATCTAATTAGAACTAGCTGGTGAAGAGGACTGATCTTACTGGATTTTCCACCCCATATGAAACTGTTTTCTATTAAAAGTCTAGTATGGAAGTCCTCCCACCAAAAAACAAATTCAGCTCATCAACTCTTTCCTCCTTCAAGTAAGAGGCTTTGCGAATATACATACAATGAATCAAAAGGACAAAAAAAGATCGAAGCAATTAAAAGTATTGGTGTGGAAGGGACAAAACATGGTGGATAAGGAACATGTTGCAGAATTTAGTCTAGGAATCGTATCGAGATAGAAACACTTAAAATCAAGTGGAAACATAAAAAGCATACCAACCAAGACACAAGCTTTTTAAGTGGAAACATAAAAAGCATACCAACCAAGACACAAGCTTTTTTACATGGTTCAGCAGCAAATTAAAATATAGCGTACATCCACGGCAAAATGATAAAAAAATTTCCCTATAGAGGAAAAACAAGAGTACAAATACAAGAACCAGAATTCTTACTCTCACAAGCACCCTCTTCACAAAAGTGAAGCACTCTCCAACTGATGTCTTGCTCATATCACTCAATTCTCCAAAGCCAGAAATCTCTCAATTCTGGATTGTCTAAAACTCTACTTGAACTTCTCCTTTAATGTGAACTTCGGAGGGATAACAAACAAATATATTTTAAGTGCCTGATAGGACGAAGCAAAATTTGATGTCGATTTCAGAATAGAAAGGACACTCTGCTGCATGCGTAGCACACAAATTGGTGAGTTTTTATGCTAAGAAATTATGGCTCTGCTCCACCTTTGCCTGAAGCTTCTCCCAAGCCATTTGGGAGCATATTTTTCTAATCACTGTCTCCAATGCGCTTCGTAAGGCGCCTAAACTTTTAGTATACTACTCAAGTCCAACCAATGTTGGAGCTTGATTGTTGGAACTACTTTTAGTCAACAAATTAATCAGACTATCGGCCATATGTTTCGTTATGGCATGTTGAACTTGATGCTTTGTCAAGTAACTAGCACTTTGACTTTCATAAAATACAGAGAATGAGTTGCAAAATTTCCCAAGTCACCAATCTCACACCAGAGATATAAAGCCTCCTTGACGTTTTTGAGGGTCTGAGTCATTACAACACACTGTATCTCGATTCTCGACAAAGCAACTGTTGGCTGTAACATAGAACTCCAGCAAACTAATGAAAAAACATAGTCTGTTGACGGTAGTTGCCTATCCTAGTCACCAACGCCATCAAAATCCACATCATTATTTAGGTGAGACTCTGAACTATTGTCTACTGAAGTACCAAGCTTCTATCAAGAATCCCTTGTAGATACCTCTGCAACCATACCACAGCTTGCATTGCAATTTACCAGCTTACCACATTAACTGCATACGAAATATCTAATCGAGTGCATACCATGGCATACATCAGGCTTCCAACTACACGCTCTGGAACACGAGAGTATGAGATATATATTTAAACTACTCCTTGCTGCTTAGAGACCATTGTTATTTAAGGACTGAGGCAAACTAATGCGCCTCCATCCCTTGCAACTTAGGTATGCGCAAGAAAGGATCAAAATTTTGTTTTGAAATGGTTAAAACATTCGAATCATTTTTATTTATAAGGAGACCGAAATGAATCAGTGATGGAATTGAATTTTAATATTTTGAAGTACTCCATAATGTTTCGAGATGTTTTGTAATATTTCAATATATTTGCACAATTTTTTGGAATGTTTTAAGATATTTCAAGATACTTTGTCATATTTCAACCGATCTTTTGAAAAATCATTCTTAAATTTTTTATTTTTTTTATTATATTTCCGAAACTGATCAAATATTTTCGAAACACGTCGAAACATTTCCGTTTTCTAGGTGACCGAAATAATACACCGAAACAAAATTTTGATCATTATGTGCAAGGCAAGGCATGAATGTCATCTAAGTGAGGTCAATGTTGTGAATGACATGCAAATGATTTTTCAAAACAAGCCATAACCTCAAAAAATATTTAATAAAAGCAAATATTCAAAATTCCAAGCATTATTAAAACTTACAATTTCAAAATATTCCAAATAGAATCGATTGAACAAAAACTCATGTCGCAAACAAATGCATCAATTTTTTGGCAGTCAACTTTTTATGGCAAATACGAAGCACATAAATTCATATGAATCATCACAAAGATAATGCATTCAAACAACCAATTCATTGATTCACAAGACCCGAACTCCATCATATTTCCAAGCAGAGCAAAAAATTGAGACAATTATGGCACTTAAATTGCTTGAGCTAAACAAACTTTAGGTACAGGTAGAACATTTTACTTGCGCAAAAACATGCCTACTTCCAAAGCTCAAATTGTAATTTGGTTTCAAACCCACATCTAACCCCTAAAGAGACAAGGAGAGAGAGAACAAAGAGAGGCACGCAGACCATGAAAGCAAAAAAGAACGAAAGGTAGGAAAAGAAAGAAAGATCGTGAGTCAAACAGACCAGAGAAAGAAACCAAGAAAGAATGAAAAATAAAAGAAGAGATAGAGCGATGATGAAACACAAATGAATACAACCACACTTCATCTTATTAGCACAAAGATCAATAACACATGTAATTTGCAAGATAAAAAGACAACCAAAAAATTTTCACTAAAGCATAATTGCTAAAGCTTCTTGGGCCTTGCACCAAAGCCCACTAGGCATGCGCCTCACAAACAGTGTTATGAAAAGCGAGCCTACGCGAACGCCTAGGCAAGAAGCGAAGCAAAGCTAGTCTTGGTCGCCTTGATCATCTAGGTGAAGCGAGGTTAAGTAAAGCGAGGAACAAGCGAGCCTAAGCAACGAAGGGAGACAGACGAGAAAAATGAACACCTAATTGTAGTTTTTTTATTTTCTCCTCCTCCCCCCTCCTTTTTTCTTCTTCTTCAACATTAACCAAACTCTAATAGAGATGATGTTATATGTGTATATGTATAAAATAATTGATTGATTCATCTAACAGTAACTTATGACAATCTATATTATTATGATTAGATGATATTGAATGCTCTTGTTAATCAATTTGCTATATACTCTATTTGATTAATTAATTTGTGAGTGCTCTATTTAGTAGTGATATTAATCAATCACGGTAAAAGTCAAACCCACATTTGTTAGTTTTACATTTAGATGACGTGATTATGTCAATTGGTTATTTTTTTTAATGCAATAATATTCAATATTTAATATCTTGTCTATTTAAAATATGTTGATATTTATTATTTTGGTTGCATTTAAATATTTTGTAAATGTTAAGGTAAAACTTGAATATTTATGAGTAATCAAAGTATCAAACTAAAATATTTGCTTATTTTTTATATTATTCGTTTTGCTTCAATGAAGCGCTCGCTTAGCTTGTCACTTCTCACCTAGGCCTCAAGACATCGGTTCGCTTCAATTCGCTTTACGCCTTAAATAACACTGCTTACAAAAGTACGCTAGCCAAGGCATGGGCAAATCGCAAGTGGACCTTGCTACGCTCTGGGCCTAGACACACGCCTTGAACAACACCGTTACACATTCATTGCAGGTTTGAAGTGGTCAGTAATGAAGTACTCACAATCTTTGAGTTTTAAGTACCAAATGCACACAAGTACTTCCATTGCGATTGTGACGCCCTTAAATCCAGGAGTCCTTTCTCAACTCGTTGATCACCCATCAACCCGCATAAATACCTGTGAATACCGCATAACCAGACACCACGTCATCACATCCCATTTACCGGGATTGTTATAAACACATAGTTTGGATAGAGTTTCCCTTATACCGGATCACTCCCAAACGCATAACTTGTACACATATCAATTACTTGACTATTCCAAGGTCCAATTCCCATGAATTTACACTGAATATTGAACCAATTACATCATTTAAACAAGATTCGAGGCCCGAAAGCTTAGTAAGTTATATTTAAATATTTTTTTGAAAAGTTTGAAAGAGGAACATCCTCTTACACATGGTATCGGTACTTGAGCCTTCTGTCTATCAAGTACTGGTAACTCAGTAATGGGGTACCGGTACCTGAATAATGGGGTACCGGTACCTGGACCTTTATTTTTCAAGTTCCTTCTAGTTGCCAAGTACCGATACCTAAGTGACGGGGTACCGGCTCCTGAACCCGCTGTTTGCTAGGTACCGGTACCTAAATGTCGTAGTATCGATACCTAAGCCCATTGTCCATCGAGGTACTAATACCTGAAGTCTTGGTACCGGTACATGAGCCACTAGAATCTAAGTACTAGTACTCGTATGTCGAGGTACCGATACCTGGCCCATCCAACAGCATGATACCAATACTTAATCACTTAGATGTCAATACCTGGGCTCAGATTTTCCCAAATTCTTTTCAATCTTCAACATTTAAGCATTCAATCTCTTTCCCAACACATCCATACATTTATATGCACAATTTATAGTCCACAAGAGTTCATTACAACACTTTTTACATAATTTTACAAGTTAAACATAAATTACATGATTGATTTACAAAAACGTAATTTAAAATCACAACTCGGCTTCTTTATCAACAAGGACCCATATGAGGGCCGTCCACCGGCGCTTATCCTGCACCTGAAATGTTGTTCTCATAAAAGGTGAGTCACGCTCAATAGGGTATCTCCTAAAGAAGCTACTCCCCAACCTAAATACATATGAAATGTTCACATATAATTCAACAATCAATCAAGCATTCATTCAATAATATGCAATTCATAATGTATTCTACAATGACAAGCCATGTCATGAGATGGTACCCACACATGCAATACATCCCGTGCTCTTTACCAGCTCCCATAACACATGTAATGACATGTGTATATATCCAGACATTCCAAACCCCCGTCATTGATGTTACACATCCAATGATCATTTATAAATCTCGGATCTCTCTTAGGGTGGGTATTTATGAACTTCCACCGATGGGTCCCCAATTGACATAACATTTATGGACTTCTACCA